GTATAAGATTAGAAATGTAACTCCTGTGTACTCAAGAGTTCGGTTGTCATGGAATTGCACAGGTACGCGACCTAGTGCAAATGTGTTAAAGGAAAACAATATCTCTAATGCATTTTGGAAATGCCATAAGTACGTTTTTCATGTCTTTGTGTAGAGAGAAAGGTTACCTTTTGTTGATGTTGATGCTGATGCTGATGCTGATGCTGATGGTAAAGGGCTTGTCGTTTGATTGTCTTGACCGTGGACACCTGAAAAGGTAAATGACACTAAGTCCACATTGGGAGTACGCTTGGAGCATATATGATATATACAATGTCTTGATCTACTGGATATACAATTCCAAAAGGGATATCTTAAAAAAGAAATTGTCTCAACTGTTTGCCAAATCGAACTGCAAGTTATATCTTCTAAGTGTAGGACATGGCTTCCACACCTTCATGTTTACCCCACTGATACTGTCAACCTTTTGAATGCAGTTCGATGAAAAACGTTCAGAATAACGTCATTTATCTCGACACTGGATGAGAAAGCATGATTCATCACAGAGCAATCACACTGTGTGGTGTTACCTTATCGCATTTGTTATTGTCAACAGAGAGGTATAGTGGTTTTAAGTTACACTTCTCACAATATGGCATCATGATCATCGATGTGTGCAGTTGAGACATTGTGATGGATAGTTCAGTGACTGAGAGAGCTAAAATCTGTTATCACATGTAGACAGTTAAAACAACCAACAGCTCACAGATGCAAATGTTACTCCATCATAACCAGGAATACAATTGGCTTGAAGTAAAGAGTAACGTGTTCAAAGAATTCTCAATTCAAGAAATCCATAACAAAAATCTATGTTGATGAATACCATGGGTGAATGTCGAAGTTGCTGAGGATGGAATCAAATAGCTCTCAAACAATATTATAGTGAGTGAGTGAATGAGTTTAATTTATGCCACTTTAAGCAAAATATTCTAGCAATACCAGGGCGAGGGACACCAGACATGGGCTTAACACGTTGTACCTATGTGGGGAATCGAACCCGGGGATTTGGCCTGACGATCAAATGCTTTAACCACTAGGCTACCACACCAGCCGTAAGATAGTTTCATATGCAGCTGAAAATTTAAACTGGAGTCGAAAATAAGAGAGAGGACAGAATAGGATGAGACTGACTGACTGACTGAGTTTGGTTTTACACCACTTTTAGCAATATTCCAGCAACATCACGGCGGGGGAATACAGAAATGGGCTTCACACACTGTACCCATGTGGGGATTCCAACCCGGGTTTTTTTTGGCATGACGAGCCAACGCTTTAACCACTAGGTTACCCCACAGCCCCGAATATGATGAGAAGAATCCATATTAACTTAACATGCTGTAAACGTCAAATGTGACAACAAGAAGTAAAAAGAAAAACGGAAAACACTGTATAAGATTAGAAATGTAACTCCTGTGTACTCAAGAGTTCGGTTGTAATCGGATTGCACAGGTACTCGACCTAGTGCAAATGTGTTGAAGGAAAACAATATCTCTAATGCATTTTGGAAATGCCATAAGTACGTTTTTTATGTCTTTGTGTAGAGAGAAAGCTTACCTTTTGTTGATGTTGATGCTGATGCTGATGTTGATGTTAATGGTGATGGTGATGGTAAAGGGCTTGTCGTTTGATTGTCTTGTCCGTGGACACCTGAAAGGGTAAATGACACTAAGTCCACATTGGGAGTACGTTTGGAGCATATATGGATATATACAATGTCTTGATCTACTGGATATACAATTCCAAAAGGGATATCTTAAAAAAGAAATTGTCTCAACTATTGCCAAATCCACTGCAAGTAATATCTTCTAAGCGTAGGACATGGCTTCCACACCTTCATGTTTACCCCACTGATACTGTCAACCTTTTGAATGCAGTTCGATGAAAAACGTTCAGAATTACGTCATTTATCTCGACACTGGATGAGAAAGCATGATTCATCACAGAGCACTCACACTGTGTGGTGTTACCTTATCGCATTTGTTATTGTCAACAGAGAGGTATAGTGGTTTTAAGTTACACTTCTCACAATATGGCATCATGATCATCGATGTATGCAGTTGAGACATTGTGATTGATAGTTCAGTGACTGAGAGAGCTAAAATCTGTTATCACATGTAGACAGTTAAAACAACCAACAGCTCACAGATGCAAATGTTACTCCATCATAACCAGGAATACAATTGGCTTGAAGTAAAAAGTAACGTGTTCAAAGAATTCTCAATTCAAGAAATCCATAACTAAAAATCTATGTTGATGAATACCATGGATGAATGTCGAAGTTGCTGAGGATGGAATCAAATAGCTCTCAAACAATATTATAGTGATTGAGTGAATGAGTTTAATTTATGCCACTTTTAGCAATATTCTAGCAATACCAGGGCGAGGGACACCAGACATGGGCTTAACACGTTGTACCTATGTGGGGAATCGAACCCGGGGATTTGGCCTGACGATCAAATGCTTTAACCACTAGGCTACCACACCAGCCGTAAGATAGTTTCATATGCAGCTGAAAATTTAAACTGGAGTCGAAAATAAGAGAGAGGACAGAATAGGATGAGACTGACTGACTGACTGAGTTTGGTTTTACGCCACTTTTAGCAATATTCCAGCAACATCATGGCGGGGGACAACAGAAATGGGCTTCACACACTGTACCCATGTGGGGATTCCAACCCGGGTTTTCGGCATGACGAGCCAACGCTGTAACCACTAGGTTACCCCACAGCCCCGAATATGATGAGAAGAATCCATATTAACTTAACATGCTGTAAACGTCCAATGTGACAACAAGAAGTAAAAAGAAAAACGGAAAACACTGTATAAGATTAGAAATGTAACTCCTGTGTACTCAAGAGTTCGGTTGTCATGGGATTGCACAGGTATGCGACCTAGTGCAAATGTGTTGAAGGAAAACAATATCTCTAATGCATTTTGGAAATGCCATAAGTACGTTTTTTATGTCTTTGTGTAGAGAGAAAGGTTACCTTTTGTTGATGTTGATGCTGATGTTGATGCTGATGGTGATGGTGATGGTAAAGGGCTTGTCGTTTGATTGTCTTGACCGTGGACACCTGAAAAGGTAAATGACACTAAGTCCACATTGGGAGTACGTTTGGAGCATATATGGATATATACAATGTCTTGATCTACTGGATATACAATTCCAAAAGGGATATCTTAAAAAAGAAATTGTCTCAACTATTTATCTTTTATTACCTTAAGGAGGTTATAAGTTAAATAGTTTAACATAGACCTCTGAGACAGATTTGCATTGTTTGGTGAACGTCAGGTTACTCTTGATTTTTCAGGTGTGATACTCGGTTGGTTCCGGTTATAGTTGGTCTATGAAACAGCAACCCAGGTTTGTTGTAAGAGGCGACTAACGGGATCGTTTGGTCAGGTCAGGATGTGACCGTATCCCTCACTACAAAAATGACTTGGTTTCCTGAAATCTGGAAACCATCCGTATACTGGGTAAATGGGGAATCCAGTTGGTTTCCATTCACTGAAACTAAGTGACTGAGTTTCCAACTAGATTCCATTTTGGATTCTTTGATTTTTGCATTTCAGTAAATGGAAACCAACAAGAAACTAAGGTTATAGGTTTCTTTTTGGTTTCCTTTCCTGGAATTTGCAATTGAAGGTTTCACGAAATGGAAACCAACATAAAACCAGAAGATGTAGTTTCTTGTTGGTTTCCTGTGCACTGTTTTAAACTGAGTAACTTAAAATTTGGAAGTATTTGGCATGAAGTTAACCATCCTGGCATCCAGTTGGTATCCATTCATTGAAACTGGGTAGCCTAGTTGGTTTAAACATATTTTTATTCCGTCAATGCAGAAACCTTGATAGGCGAACAAGCCTAGTGGCTTATATAAACGCCGCTCCAGTACATGGTTCCAATATAGCTGGATAGATATTTGAAATAGACGGACAAGAAAAGAATAATATTGAGACAAAATTACACTCAGAAAAATGATTGAATAATAAATATTTGGTTATGTAGTTGGTTGTGCCTAGTAACGAAAAGAGCTGCCACAGAAAATCAAGTTATAAAAATCTTGTCTTGCATTGAATATACATGGATATGTAGAGATGATAATCACTGGAAGCGCTTACTTTTAGAAATGAACTGGTGTAATGAGGTGAGAATGTCACAATTTGTTGAGTTATCCAATGCGCCGTTACCGTATAAGGTAGTTTTCACATCGTATCCTTGAATATAAAAATACACCGTTGTTCTTAAATTTTGATAGTTCCGACATGTAAAAAGATAGTGAATGACGTCTTCGTTATAATGACCACATGAACACTAAGCTGTTTCTGATATATGTCGATTATATCTGTCTGCGTTCAGATCACTACAGCCGAGCTTGAGGCGACAATGGATGATTTGACAAAATCTAGTCCCAAAATTTAAATCAAAGTAGTTGTCAGTTTCTGTTGGATTTATCATGGTTTTAAACTGCCTCACGGAAATAGCGTTAACAGGTCCATCGGGCAATGAATTCCACGACATAATCGCGCTCGGTAAGAATGATTGAGAATATCTTTGTGTTCTACAGTTAATAGTTTGAATGGAAGTACTATCTCTAAGATTATAGTTGTTTTTTTTAAATACTCTACCTGGTACAAGATCATTCAGATAATCAGGAGTCAGACGCTGATACACTTTATAGAAAGTTATAAGTTTAAGCGATATCGTCTTTGATTCAGTGTGCTGTAATTGGTTTCCTTGTATATTTTATCATGACTGGTGCCACGAACCGCACCGCATATAGGTCTTAATGCGCCTAAGTGTAACTTTTCCAGTAAAATCGCCTGTTCAATCGTACAATTATCCCATATATGACAGCAATAATCAAAAAGTGGTAAGATAAAGGAGTTATATAAAGTATTTAGCGTTTTCCGAGATAAACGATTTTTCAAACTTCTCAGACAATTGATCATTGTTATACCTGAGTGTTTATGGTTATCAACTTCTTAAATAGTTTCGCCATTCATTAGTAAGTTCGACCTGGCATTATTTTTCGTTTTACGAGTGAATGTTATACTCTCAGTCTACTAGGAATAAAACTTACCTGCCACTTTCTGGCCCAGTCTGATTTTTTTGCCAAATCATTGTTTATAATTGCGGCTGCTGTAATATGATCATCTGTTATAGCATATATTGATGTATCATCAGCAAAAAGGCGAATGTTACTGTCTATACCATCTACAATGTCATTAATATAAATGAGGAACAGAAGTGGTCCTAATACGGAACCATGGGGTACACCAGCTTCCACAGATTTGATACCTGAACTGTATCCATTTATTACCACTTTCTGCATTCTACTATCTAAATAACTTTCAAACCACTCCAAAAGCTCTCCCTGTATACCATAAGCATAAAGTTTATGAATAATACCTTTGTGCCAAACTTTGTCAAAGGCTTTACTTTCATCACAGAATACCGCTCTGATTTTCCTTTCCTTGGTCTACGGCACTTGCGATAAAATTATAAAGATAAGTTAGTTGATTTAGTGTAGAATCACCAGGCCTAAATCAAGATTGTAAGTTTGATAAAATATTGTTATCCCTGAGGAAGTTGAAGACGTATTTAAAAAGGCCTTTTTCCAAAAACTTTAGCGACACAGCTTGTTAACGCTACAGGTCTATAGTTTGAGCAGTCGTGTTCATCACCATTCTTATGAAGCGGAATTACTGAAGGTAGTTTCCAAGAAGTACGATACGTTTTATTACGAAGAGAGATGTTGAACAACTTAGCTAACAACGGGGTTAAAGAGGTTGCAGTTCGTTTCAGTATGATGTTTCCAATGCCATCAGGCCCCGTGGCTTTCGATGTATCTAGACTCAGAAGAATATCGCGAACATCTCCATTACTTATTGTGATAGATGACATAGGATGATCGATTTCACGCGGTTCGAAATCAGGCAGATCGGCGTTAGGATTAGCAACTTGCGATTGTTCTGAGAAAAATGAGTTGAGTACATCAGAAATATCTTGTTCATTGTCATAAACTATGTTATTGCTGACAATTGATGGAAAGGACGATTTTATGGAATTTGTTTTAACATAATTCTTAACTAATCGCCACCACATGTTACTACCATGTGTGTTATTTATAGATTCATCAACTCTTGCATCAAAAGCACGTTTTGCATTTCTAACTGTTGCTACTACTTTGTTCCTAAGTGTTCTGAACTTAGTCCAATCATCAGGAAGGTTTCTGTTTTTTGCAATCTAATGAACACGATTTTGTTTTCTTATTAAGGATCGGATTTCGTTATTCATCCACGCGGGAACTTTGGTTCTAATTGTTACAGTTTTATTTGGAATATGTTCATTCACGATATTCAATAACAAGGATGTAAGGTTTCCAGTGTTATTATCTACGTTCTCCGAAGAGAAAAATATATCTGAGTTTATCTCTTTGATAGTTTCATTCATACCATTAACATCCATTGAAGAATAATCATAGATGTTCCTTTTGAATGAATTCTTGTGCTGCATCATTTCTGCTATGTTAACAAATACGGGGCAGTGATCGCTGCATATGGGATCTAATACACCAGAATCTTTGACAACGTCGACGCGAGAAACAAATATCAAATCGATCAAAGTTTTACTACTTGCGGTTATTCTAGTAGCATCCGTAACTATTTTTTTAAGGCCGTAGTAACTTTGTATAAAGTCAATCTTTTGATTATTGCCATGAAGAACGTCAATATTGAAATCACTGGTTATAATTGTCTGCATATTAAGATCAACTGCGTTACCTATTGATTCATCACCTATTAGCGATAAACAGTTCCAATCAGGTAGTTTCTTGTTTTACATTTAGTCTGTATCCATATCGCCTCAAGTCCGACTATGTCTAAATCAGACATCAACAACGCACAAACAGTATCTTTCACATAGACTGCTACACCGCCATCGCGAGTTTGTCTGTCTTTACGGTAGATGGAAGCCAGGACTTTTTATATCAATGTTATTTGTATCCGAAGTTAACCAAGTTTCGGTTAGACATATCACATCATAACATCCAAGTTCAACTCTTAAAATATCTAATTTCTCCTTAAGACTACGTACATTTAGATGGATTATCCTTAAAGCATTTGTGCATTTCTAAAGGTCCTGGATTAGGATGAATATCTCCACAGCACAGTAACAAAAGTGAAATCATTATGGAAACACAACTGCCATACAGACAACGAAATTTGAATAGATGTTGATAAAGAGCAAATTTACCTGAGTGTTTAGAATGAAGTGCTGCAGCAAATGTACCCACTGCCTGTCTATATTGTGATATTTCACCCGCCATCGAAAATTAGAAACTGGTGACAGATATAGTAGACAGTGGGTCTTGAGGATGCAAAACTGCGTAGGCACACACCAACACCATAACTAAATGATATAATACGTAAACAAAACAAGGGCATTCTTTTCTTGTCACATTCATAACAGAAATAATCAAACGAACAGAAGTGGAAAGGGTTAAAAAGAAAATACAAAGACAAAAACATTCGTCTATTTAGTGAAAGGAAAATTCGAGAAAAATTTCATATATTATAATGTTTTCAAATTGCCTATAAATGAAAGTCATATCAATTGCCCAAAATATCTACATCAAAACATAGTTAACAGTAGTGAGAAGATTTGTATCCGTGTCGACGCATGTGCATGTGCGAGAGAACACGATGTGGGCGCTTAGCACGAGAATGTGTGCGTGTGTGTGTGTGTGTGTTAAGGATGCATGTTCAGGGCACGACCAAAACGGACTGGATACCTGTGCGAGTAAATCCATGGTGTTGTGAAACAACGTGAGTACTGTTGTTTGTTACATAGACATATTCAATGCTTTACCATAGACGGAAATATAAAGGGTACTGTAAAACATGTATAATAATGATTTGTATTGAACAGTAGTTGAGACAAGTGTTAATTGACACAAATAGCTTATTGTGCACATTGTATGAATGCAAACTATTATAAATGTATTGAACGTATCACGACCACTCATGAGAATGTTATTCAGATCATGGTGACCTCTTATGTCATAATTTTCAGATCAAAACATAGCGTCCACGCGCTTTAAAAATGAAGCCGTAAACGTGTCAATTTCATTTAAGCAATTGTTTAACGGGTTGCGATTTAAACACACACACACCCATATATATATATATACACACACACGTATGTACCCGTGACCATACACACACATACATATATACATGTATACACATAAACATACATACAAATACACACACACACACACACACACACACACACACGTGACCATACACACACATACATATATACATGTATACACATAAACATACATACAAATACACACACATACATACATATATATACATAGAGAGAGAGAGTTAACCATTGATCATATTCATATCAATTGCCCAAAATATCTATATCATATCATAGTTAACAGTAATGAGTTTGTATCCATGTCGACTTATGTCCATTGCGAGAGACCACGATGTGGGCGCTTAGCACGAGAATGTGTGTGTTAAGGATGCATGTTCGGGGAACGACCAAAACGGATTGGCTGTCTGACGTGTCTCGGAGAGCTCCCGTCTAGGCATGTAAGTTTTTCTACTTTGGTGGATAATGGAAGTGAACCAGCTGTTTTAAAAGTCATTATCGTAAACATCACGACCATATTAGTCGACCTGTGAGTTTCATTAAAGGATGGAAAATCTTTAAGACGATTTTGGACAGATTGTCTGCAAGCCAGGATTGGTATCATTTTCCAGGTTCAGCGGCCATGTCAGTCATAACATGACAGGACAACACGATCTCAGCTGTGACAACGTTTCATATACTGCATTCTGTCTGTTAAGGTGAGAAGCAACCACTATGCTGGGTAAATAAACTATATCCATATTGTGCACGAACTACTAAAATATATGGATAGTTCTACACCTAAACGACAACGAGACGAAGTGTCAACATCGCCAGAACAGATTGACGTCGACTATAAACGCCAGTGTCAAGCGAACTCTGTATCGGATATATCAGACCCATCTTTTAATATGAGTGAATCCGAGACATCGAACACTTCTATGAATATGGATAATTTTGCAGAAAAACTTGTTCAGGCCTTTCAAAATGACAATGTATTGAAAGTGATAGGCTCAATAGTAGTCGAAGCGCTGCACCCTATGATTCGAGAAGAAATCGAACAATTGACAGCCAAAAATCTGGAACTGGAGGGAAAGATTGATGACCTAAATTGTAAACTTAAAGAGAGAGATACTGTTATTGAGACATTAACTGAGAGGTTAAGTGAACAGTACTCTCGCAGAAATAATCTACGGTTCAGTGGTATCCCTGAGGTAGAGGGGGGAAAATACCGATAGGATTATAGTTTCACTGTCAAAATCAATTGGGGTTGACATAAGAGAATGTGACATTGACATCAGTCATAGGGTGCCCAGACGTCCCACCATCCCACAAGAAAGTCCACGACCAGTGCTTGTGAGGTTCATAAGCAACGCCACTAAGCGTCTGCTATTACAACCCCGGTCAAATCTGAAGAACGTAAGAGCACCGGGAAAACCAAGAGTCTTCATAAATGAAGATTAAACTAAATCACGGGCCACAATAGCTCGTGATGCACGTCAAATGTTTAATGACCGCAAGTTTGAATCTTCCTGGGTCACAGGAGGGGTCATCTTGATAAAGCTCAAATTTGGCAGGGTGAGAAAGGTCGCAAACCCCACTCAGTACAAGGAAGCCTGCGATTCCACGAAACTTCTAACAGCTATTAGTCTTAGCCAAGAGAAGGGCGTGAAATCATAAATAAACGCTCATTGGCTCAAGAGATTTCGTGCTACGTTGTATAGCTAACATATATGGGGTGCTTTGCCTCAGCATGCTTCTAGTTTGTTAGTGCATGCAACGTTGACATGATCTATGCTCAGCATGTATAATGATCATTTCAAATGGGTAACAATTTGTCATGTTTTATTTTAACGCAACAAGTCCAACGTCTTTGCCTACACGCAGTCAAGAT